ACAGAGGGACACAGAAATGTGTGTGGCCTGGCGTGGGAAGGCAAAAAAATAGAGTTGGGAAATCTGCAGTTCACAGCCTGGTTTAGACATTGCTCCTGGGCAAGCCAACAACAAAGTCCTCTGGTTCATGTTCCCAGGCATGGCTTTGCAAAGAAGGGCATTCCTTTCTGGGGACCTGCCCTAACTCCCCCAGTTCTTGTCCTCTGTGTGAGCAGAGGGATCCCAGCCCCTCTCAAGAGCTCAGCCACGCAGGGACAAGTATGTGGTTTCTTTTTTTCTTGGTGCTGCTCCTCGTGGTAGAGTTGCCTGCAGTTTGTGTAACTCTCTTTTGGCAAGGAAATGAAATGCTTTGAATATGTGTTTTAACAACAGCTAAACCTGGAAAGCTCATGCTAGAACCTGAGACAAATGCTTATATAAAGATGCTGGTTTGACATCAGGACATGTCCTAATACACAGGCTCCAAACAGAGCAGGGTTGTTTGTCCAAGACCACATTTATGCCCTAGCTCCCACCAGTCAGTTTGAATTTGGGGTTGGGTTTTTTCCTTCCTTCCTCCCTCCTTAGAGACTCACAAGGTAAATTCAGGCACGTTCAGGTCTCACTGAAGCCCATCGTGTTTTAACTACTTTCTGGAATTACAGTTTGCACCAAAGCCCTGGTGACATTCCTGGTGCTCCTGGCTCATGGTGCTGCTGGAAGGTGAGTGTGGGAGCAGGTGGGTGGTTTGCCAGGCTGTGGGGAGCAGAAGCTGAGTTCAGACTCAGATATAAGCCTGTTTCCTTTCTGTGCTGTGCCACGAGTGCTCAGTGGATTCCCCTGCTGCTGGAAAACAGCAGGGAACAATGAAACATTCAGGTTCAGAACACTTGGTCTTCACTGTGATTAGATGGGGTAAACCTTGGGGCAGAGCTGAAGTGCCCATCTGGGCACTGCTCACAATCCAGGCCCTCTGCTCTTGAGCTCAGTCACTTTTAGGAAGGAAGGAGAACTCTGGACTTAGAAGGATTAACTTCTCCCTCAGATGGGAATGAGTTTGCTGCTTAGGCTGATGTGCAAGCTGAGCTGAGCCCAAATGCTTTGAGCTGAGCCTCCAACAGAGGTGCCTCAGCACAAAGGGGTGGATGTGGCTGGTATCTGACTCCTCAGCCTCTTCTTCTGCAGGATAAAGGATGGTGATGGGTCTGGTGTGGAAGTCCTGCAAGAGAACCAGTCTGAGGTTCCATTGTGTCAGCACATCTACCACTCAAGGGGTAGAAAGTCCTTCCCCTCTTCTTTAATAGGATCCTGCTGCCTCTTGGGCTTCTTCAGTGACATCTTTGCATTTGTTTATTGGAGTGAATTCTTTATAGCTCTGATAATTTCCCTCTCCTCACACAGCCCCTGCACCCTGGTCGTGTTTGGGTCAGTTCATCTCTCAGTGGCCTTTTGGTCCTGTAAGATGGTTCTCACATGGCACTGCTCATTTACATCTGTGAGAAGACCTGAGGGAAGACAACAGCCCAAATTCCAGTCTGTTTCTAAATATTTTAGAAAATACTCTCTTTCCCAGCAGCTGCCATGGCCAGTCTGCTAGGGAAAAAAACACACCACAGAAATGAAGCAAAGCAGTGCTGGGCTTTGTTGTCCCATTCCTTAGTGGGCTTTGTGTTTTAAGGCTCTGCCTTGTTAACATTTTTGGGAAGAGAATCGAGTTGCAGAGCAGCAGAGCTGGCAGCCAGTGCTCTTCTTTAGACCTGGGAAAGTAAGGAGGGAAAAAACCCACCCAGTTTCCAGCCTTTGTTTGGCTGCAGTGTAAGATGAAAATACTATCTGTGCAGCAGTGCAGATGAAAGGATGAATTATTCTCTGATTGAGCTGCTGGGTCAGAAGTAGTGCATACTACTGCTGGAGAAACAATAGGTGATTTTGTGTCTAGTTTAAAGCTTTCTGCAGAGCCAACCCTTTTCTAGGTGGCAAAGAGCTGAATTCATGCATCTTCCTGAGCAGCACCTGCCTTTCCCTGCAGGGAGTTGGCTCTTGAAGTCCAGCTCTCCTGGAAAAACACTCCAACAACCCTCTCTGTTCCCTGCCACCCCTCTCCTGCCATTGCCAGGTGCTGCAGGAGCCTCCTGACAGCAGAGCTCTGCTCCCCATGGCCTCCCGAATGAGCAGGGCCATTCAGCCCAGCAGGGGGGGCAGGAAGGGTGTGTGAATGGGGGCATTGCTCCCACTTGCCAAAACAACCTCTACGCTGTATCTGCAAAGGTGTTTTAAATGGAAACGTGCCCAAAGCTGAACTTTATGGAAACATTTCCAGCTCTGTCCTATGGGGATGGGAAAATAAGCAGCAGTGTGTGCCCCCACCCCCAGGCTGGGGGAGCTGGGGTGAGTGAGAGGCTCTGGAAGCCCCAGGCAGGTGTGTGTGCACAGGGGGAAGTGCTCCGTGTGTCACAAAGAAAGAATGTCCTGTGATTGCAGGATCAAAGTCCATTTCTTCTCCCCTTCTATAGAGCTTTTATTGAGCACTCTTGATTTTCCAGATGTTTTTCTAACCAGAGCAGGACCCAGCTGGCAATACCCCAAAACCAGTTGCTTCCCATGGGTTTTGCTGGCCCTTGCTGGGTCCTCGAGTCTGGCAGCAGAGGCTTGGTCAGGTGTAACCCTGCTGATTCACAGGGGAGGAATGGAGCTGGGACTTGCTGGAGGTCAAGTGGAGACCTGGCACCTCCCACCCTGGCCCGAGACACAGACCTCAAACCTCTTTACTTGGCACACAATGCAGAAAAAAAGAGATTTGCTGTGTTTTTCAAATTGGATCCCAGATTGTTTCACCCTGTCAGGTGAATTAATCCTCTTTGTAAACAGGTGGTTTCACTGACGACAATAAAAATTCTTTGGCTGTAGGTGACTCATGCACAAACAGCTCACCATGACCAGGCTGCTCTGAGCCAGATGGAGGTTAGTGGATATTATGAGTATTACCTGGGTTAATAGCAAAACATTCAGCCTTCTTCATTTGGGATTTTTATTTTAGTTGCTAGAGGAGAAGAAAAAACACTTCTGTAACTCTGGGATCTGTGCTCTAGTCAGGAGCAACAAGGTAAAAGCTGTGTGCCTGTTTCTGAATTATGTCCCCAGTCAAAACACTTGCACAGCTTTCCCCAGCCTGCCCTGTGACAGGGAGTCCTCAGCTTCTCAGTGGTACAACCTTCATCAACGGGGTTTTGAATGGATGGGTGGGAAAATAGATGGGGACAGAGCTGTACCTGAGCTTTGGTGCCTCTCACAGGTTCCTCCCAGGTGTGTAAATCCTTTTGCTCTGCTGTCCAATCAGCCTGGGCAAACACAACATTTCTTTCAGCGTGGAAAGATCTGTGACTACAGTTGATGATCATGTTGCTGAATTAACTTGGCCTTGCCTAAACAAAGGAATCATTCAGTCAGGGGAGAATGACCCAGTTACAGACTCAAGGCAGAGTTATTTTTGGGTTTTTAAAGAGAAAAAAAAACCAAAACCAACAACAACCTTTTTAACTTAAGGGGATTGAAGGACTTGAATCGATTTTTCAGCTCTGATCCCTCATGCCCAGGCAGCCATTGACCATTTCCCTTCCTGCTGGTTACTGATCACTCTCATTCCTCAGGTACTCATTAGTGCAGCCTCCCAAGTACACGGTGGGTGTTGACTCAGCTACTGGCCTCCCTGCCCCAAAACAACACCCTGCCTGCCAAGAGCAATCAGAGCTGTGTCCTCCTCACCTCCCAGATCTGTACCCTGGCACTACATGGGTTTCATTTGATGGATGCTGCTTTGCAGAAGCCTTTAGGAAAGCTTCAGTGAGGGGGAAAGAAAAAGGGTGGCTGCCTTCTGCATGTGCACTTCTCTTTATTACCCACTGACTTCTGTCCACTCAAGAATTTTCTGGGTATTGTGTATTTTGCACTCTGTAAAATCTAACCTGCTCAGAACATGCCACAGATCCACAATATGCCAAGGGAATATAAGAGGGCAGGGCAGAGTCCTGCCTGCTTGTACTGGGCACCACCTGAAAGAGGAAACTTGATTCTAGTATCAGGTGTTGAAGAATAATTTCATTTCCAATGGTTAGTCTGAGCATATTGGCTCTCTGCAGCTGGGAGCTGAAATGGTTTCAGAGCTCTCTTTGAAGTGGTCTTCACACCCTCCTCAGACTGAAGGAGTCTTTTAATGGCTGAGGTTACTAGTCACATTTAGAAAACATTTGGAAAGCGCTTATAAAATCAGTAAACATAGAGGCTGCTCTTTCTAGATCTACAGTTTGACCCTTCCAAAATGCAGGAGCAGGCATATTTTCAGCTGCCCACTCACAGGCTTGTCCTCTCCCAGTAACAGACCTGAGGTGCCACTGGCAGGAGCCAGGTGCTGCTCTGAACTCACCTCAACTTTCTGTCCTCACCTTGCAATATTCCTCCCTCAGGGGAAAGCTGTTGTGTTTATCATAGAACTTTTGGGGCTTCAGCTCAGGGAGTTAAATGGGTTTTTCTTCTCCATGTCAGTTGAATGAAGCTACTTCAAATTCTATTCTATAAAGCAGGTTTTAAAACCTTTCTGTGCTGACTTTTATTTCCTTCCTTAAAGATGTGTTGCTAAATACTGGGTGCAGAATTCTTCATGCTTGAATCTCAGCCTGAAATGATAATCATCTAAAATCCTACAGCATCTAAAGTGTATAGTTATCCAAAATGTGCATAACAGCAATAATAGATAGGTAACAGTGCATTATTTGGTTTATAGCTTGTTTTGTCCTGTTAATACTGAGCTGTGTCTATTTTAAGGCAAATTGCTCAAGACTGGATTGTAGCACAATTTCCATTGACCAAGTTTTTACCACTGAGAAAATATTAAGAGCCCCAGTCCAATGAGCCTGCACTCAGCAGGCTCTGAGTCTTCAATGGGTACTTGCCTAATTATCACTGTTAAATTTTGGTTCATATTTTATGAACTCATTGTTCTTTTTGTCTCCTGTAGCCAAATCAAGATGACGACAGCCACACCACTGAGCAATGACACTCACTTCTCAGTCAATGTGACCACAAAGTCTCAAGAACCAAGTCTCTATCAAAGTAAGAAAAGTAGGGGGGGGAGTTGGCTGCTTTTTTTTCTTTTAAGTGGACCTTGAACTCTGCAAACTTCAAGCAGTGCAATGACAACTTTGTAAATAAGACTTCCCCCCCTCCCTTTCTGTTTCCCTGCTAGGTTCTGGAGCAATAGTTGCTGCCATCGTAGTAGGAGTGATTATTATTTTTACAGTGGTTCTGCTCATACTGAAAACATATAACAGGTATGTGGCCAGGTTTTATACTTCACTAAGGTGAGACAAGATGAACCAAAATCATTAAGTGTGCTCTCTTCTAACAGACCATTTATTGCTCAAAATTTCCAGGAGAATCTAATGTGCTTGATGGAAATCTCCTGAATCTCACTGTCAGCATTTGGTGAATTGCTTGGAAGCAGGAGGTTCTTGATGGAGGATGCTTGAGGGGATCTCTTTTTAGGGCTTGACAGAGGAAAGGTCTGTGGTGTGCAGCAAGGCTGCCAGAAAGGAGCTTGACTTCTCACTTTTCAGGGGATTGGATTAGACTTACACGCTCTAGAAGCACTCACTTGCCATTTAGTATCTTTGGGATGAAATCCTGGCTTCTACTGATTATTTCAGTAGCTGTTCCAAGTACCTGCTTCTGTGGGAGCCTTCCCAATGTGAGACCACAGCACAGGGAGCCCTGGTGACCATCTCATTTTTACCTCTACAGACGTATGAGAGTGAAGCGGGAGCTGGAACCCAAACCCTCCAAACCAGGACTTCCACCTGCTTTAGGGCAGAACAGCAGCAGCCTGGCACAGCAGCCCATGGTGTCCTTCATACCCGTGGATATCCACATGCAGAACAGGTAACTGGGAATGCTCGACCTCCCTGCAAGAGAAGAGAGATGGAATTCATTTTTATGTGGACCTGGGACTCCTCAGCTGCTTTTGGAATAGCAGCGAGCTGTCATTTTGTCTATAGATTGTAATTAATCCTGCTTTGGGAGGAAAAAGGAAGGATCTGGATACTTTTTGTACAGCTGAAATCAACTGGTGGAAGCATACAAATCATCAGAGATGCAGTGAGCCTTGTGACAGAGCTCTGGGAATGGAGACACCGAATAGACCAAGGCCACTTGTTGGGAGGAATGGTGCACATGTATTTTGTGGAGCTTCAGCTTACTCGGAGAGTTTGAGCTTTCTCTGGTCTGCAATGACTGATGACAAGCTGGAATAAGGATTGGGACTTGCAAAGTACAGCTTGGGCTGAACTGGGGTTGTTATGGTCTGTGTGAAAGAGGTCTGTAGTGTTTGATGCATGAGGGATAGCACAGGAAGTATCAAAGGTGTATTTATCGTTACTCATGTTTCGTGTTTCTAACGCCACAGAGATAAAAAAGTTACTTTTTATTTTCAAGTAGTTGAAAAATATTTCTAGAACAGACCCACGTCCAAGTGAACTCACAGCAAGAACAGCTTTGGATTTGGAAAAGTGGGAAAGCAGCTGTGGAGAGGCAGCACAAAGCCACTGAGGCTTTCACAGCTGCTGTGCCGGACTCGTGTCCCGGAACGCTTCGCTCCTGAACGCAGAAGAGGCTTCAGCTATTTTTAGGAGACTTTTTTTTTTTATTTCTAGAAAGTAACCCAAAGGGATGTTGTTTGGCCAGCGTGACGAGCGTGGGTGTAGAGCCAAGCAGCAGAGAAATTCCCAGGGGTGTTCACAGCCCACGGGTGCACACACAGCAGCACTGTCGGGTGCTCAGTGGCCGATTGTCCCGGGCGTGTGCAGCAAACGCTGCCTGACACGGAGCAGGGAGAACCTGAGGAGTTCAACCCTGTTTGAAACAGAAGTAGACAACTAAATTCAGTTCCTTTGCCATTTTTCTGTGTGTGAAACCGGAGCAGAGTTTGAATTCCAAACTAAATATTAGGACAGCTGTTTGTGAAGTTTCTAAATCTCGTTGTAAATATTTTATTTCTCCGACTTATTTTTCGTGGCAGGAGTGATGGATAGAACCAGGCAGAAGGGGCTGCAGGTGCCAAGGTGATTTCTTTGTAAAAATGTGAAGGAATTGGCCTCCTGGTCCTTTCTCTAGCCAGCCAGGGATGTTTTCTGAGCATGTCCCACCATATCAAACCCAAGATCTTTAGAAAAGATAAGCCCTATCTTACTGTTATTTTTAACACTGCCAGCCAGACCTGCTTCTAGCAAATTTTCTTTACTCTCCATTACAGAATTTCAAACCAATGAAGCAGACTTTGCTTCCCTGAAGCAGAATAAGCAGGACTTCTACCAGCAATTCCAGACAGGTGGAATTCCTGTTCTTGGCAGAATTTACTGCCTTGGCCACGCTCACATTGCTCAGTCTGAAAAAATTCAAAGCGTGCTGGTTTACCAGTAAAATTTGCCTTCTATTGGTACAGCCTGGGAGGGCTCCACAATCCATTCTGACTCCTGTCAGCAAAATCCAGACCTTCTGCTGAGCAAGCAAAATCACCTTCTGAAGAAACCAAAATCACCCCATTTCCACTGCACTATCAGGCTTGTGCCTGTGGAATTCACTGTGGATTTAAGAATTTTCCAGGAACAATCCCACACTGTCCTTGTCCTATAACTGCAGCTGCTTCAGCATTGCTTCCACTTTCAAACCTACAGTTTTTGGAAAGCTCCATTATAGCCACTTTTGTGTGCAGACTTGCCACCAAGTTAAAAAAAAAAACAAAAAAAAAATCAAAACCTGAAAGCTGAAACTCCAAATTGGTCTGTTAAAGAAATCCCAGACCATGTGTAAGCCTTTGGAAAGAATCAGCAATGTCAGTGTAACTCACTAATTATGATTCACAGAAACTCATTAGGGACCCTCACCCAGTTAATACAAAGCTGAACGTTTGGTGGCACAGTCCCAGTCCCTCAGCAATGTGATCAAATCAACATTTCTAGTTCTTTACTCTGTTCTTTGGTTCAGTTTATCTTGACAAAACACCAGCGGGGCTGTATTCAGCAGTGACAAGGGGAACGTTTGGGTTACAGGGCATATAATGAAATATTCCTTCGTTTTTTTTTCAGTAGATGGTCTGCAGTGGGTTTGCAAGAGTAAGGGGCTTTGTTCCTTGCTCCTAAAAGTCTTCTAGAATTAACAGCTAACAAGTTGGATCCCTCAGTCTCACAGCTGGCACTTTACCGATGCAAGTACGCAAAACAAAAGTGCCAAATTGTCACTTCTAGGCGAGTCCCGTTTCCTCAAGCTTCCCCAGGCAGCTTTCAGCCCTTCTGGGGCTGTCACCCGCGGCTGCAGCAGAGAGCACGTAGCTCCATCTAGTGTCCTCGCCCCGCCTAACGGGATGCGACTGCTAGTTCTCAACAGGCAAAACCACGAAGTTCACTCCAAGTTTAGTTCCCAGCTCGACTAACTTTCAGGAACTGCCCGCAGCCGAGTCCTCCTCCCCCTCACTCCGCGGTGCAGCTGAGCCGGACGCTAGCCCAGCTTTGGCGGTGCAAAAACGCGGCGTTAAGATCGTTAAAAGTCTAGACAGATAAAATTTAAGAATGTTCTTTTGAGTCCGAGTCCCATAGTGGATTTATTTTCCAAAAAGCCATCTGTAAAACCACGTGTCTGTCACCCGTGACACACTGGCGACTGATGATAAAGCAGGAAGCTGTTGTTATACTTTAAATAAGGAGCATAGTATTTACCTTTTATTCGCACAGTTTATTTTTTACCGAGGGCTGTTACTTTGGATAAATTTGTATCAACCTCAGTGAACTGTGACTTACTGTCCCTTCCTCTGGGGCATCCTCCA